CAATGGATAATATTATGATCCACAGAGAGAGAGAGAGAGAGAGAGAGAGAGAGAGAGAGAGAGAGAGAGCGAGAGAGAGAGAGAGAGAGAGAGAAAGAGAGAGAGAGAGAGAGAGAGAGAGAGAGAGAGAGAGAGAGAGAGAACGAGAGCGACTTCACGAAGTGTGGCTGCATCTGAAAAGCAGAGACAATGTCCTTTGACGCGGTAAGCGTTCGGGTCGGAACAGAACAGGAACCAAAAGGGAACTAGAAAAGTTCTCTCTAGGGATAAGTTCCAGTTTGCCTGAGATCTTTTCGAGCAACTGAAGTCAGGAATCCTTGTTCTTGTTCACGAGGAATTGTAGTCACCATGACCAGCATGTAATCTGAAGGCACTCTGAGGGGAATGATCCTCTGGATGACAGGCAGGAGTTTCTCTGTGACCTGAAATGGCAAAAGGTGCCAAAGACAAAACTCAGAACAATGCGTTCCTCTGTGTCCAATATCGAAGAAGTTGTGAAAAAGCCAGTTGCAAATCTGCTTCAGGAGTCAACAGTTTCCCCTACATGTTATAAGGACGCTGTTCGAAAGTCCTCCGAAAGCTTCATTGATTACTAAGACTCGCGTGGTGCCGCTAGTACTTAAGCAAGGAGGGGCAAAAGGTCAACAGAGTCTACATTCTCGTGGAGCGAGACTCCTCTGATCACACCTAACTCAGGCCTGTCTCGCTGTTGAACAAAATATTCTCGGTTATGGCAAGCAGACTCACGAATTACATGATGCAGAACAAGTATATTGACACATCGGTGCAGAAAAAGGGTATTCCAAGCGTTCCCGGACCTCTCGAGCATGCCTCCGTTATTTGGAAGATTACTCAGAAAGCAAAGGCAGAGAAAAAGGAACTGCGCATGATTTGGTTGGGCCTCGCCAACACCTTTGGGTTGGTATCCCATAAACTATTACGGCAGGCCCTTTGCATGTTTCACGTACCGGCAGGAATCAGTACTATGGTCGGGCGGTATTTTTTTTTTTTTTTTGCTTCTCTACCGTGACGTTCACTACGAGATGGACTAAGCTCCAGGTTGGGATAGCAATAGGGTGTACGATTTCTCTGTTACTGGTCGTCACGGCCGTGTAGATTATGTCAGATGTGGATCCTTCAGACTGGGGATCACCAGATACCACCACTGAGAGCATTTATGGAAGACACCACGTTAATAACAGGCCGTGAAAGTGATGCAAGTATTATTCTGCAAATACTTGATTGTGTGGTCAAATAGTGCAACAGCATCTGATCCTGTCAGTGGTTGATTATGGCCTGGGACTGCTTAGCGTCTCGAAGAGTCAGATGGACAAACTAGAGCGCATACAGAACGTGGCTATACGGGTCATTCTGGGTTGCACCAGAGACACCCCAATGGTGTGTATGAAAAAAGTCCTTGGTTTGCCGACTGTTGCAGGTAGGCACAAGGTGATGCAGGCGAAGTCATATCTCAGGGTAGCTGCAGATACAGACCACCCTTTGCGCGATGCTCTTGGTGCTGTTAAGGATCAGCGGCTGATAAGAGGGAAGTCATGGATGGCTCAGGCAGAAGAAACAATCAGACAGGTCTGCATCCGTGAGAACATTAGGCGAGGAGAGAAGTGGGTCAAACTGCTACCTGAACAGTCAGAGTTGTGTAGGATCATAATCACACTGAGCCGGGAAGGCAGAGACTGGCCAGCAGGTGCCAG